GAAAATTATACGGGAAAAATTTAGAAATTTTATATTAACAGATTTTAAATTTCTATATAAAAATTAAAAAAAAGGAAACGAAAGAAATGTCGTTATTTTTAATGAATTATTTAAAATTCAAGCTGCATAAAACATCTTAAATAATTTTTTCCATTTATGCTGCCGCCCTGTGCGATGCTTTACGCAGGGACGCAGTCAGGAGAAAGAATATTTCGAATTAGTTAATTTCAATTAAAGAAAATTTAGACAATAGGGATATACTAAATGATTAATCTGTTAATTCATCAGATTTTAAATAATTAATATTCTTTTTTTTTTTTTAATTTTAGTAAAATTTTAAAACAAGAGAAAAACAATGAAATTATCTTTATTCAGAGTTCCTCTGTTTTTCTTGCTCAAAATTTAAAAATTATTTTTTTTCCATGAATTATTACGCAAAAATACAATGGTTTGGTTACTGTAATCAAATAAGTTCGATTGAGATTTTTTTTTTTAAGACTTAGTAAAAATCTTAGTTCAAATCTTAAATTATGTTTTACTATAGAATATCAGAGTAATAAATATTATTACAATAAAATATAGAGATTGGTTACTATAATAATTTTACAAGTAACCTATAAATAATTCGTTACTAATATTAGTGAATTATAGTGAATTATATTTATAATTCTAATAATAATATGATACAAATATGATAAATATATATTACAATAATATAATAATTATGATAAAATTATAATGAAGTAATTATAATTATGACTAAATTAAGATATAAGGATTATTAATTTAATAAAAAAAATTTTAATTAAAATTAAATACAATTTAATCTAAAAGTTAATAATAATATATTACAATATTATAATTAATAATAATAAATGAAGATTTAGGATCTTCTTTGTCATCTATTAATTTATTAATTAATTTAAAATGTAACTTGATTGATGTAATTATTTACACTTAATAATTATTGATTATTTAAAATATATTATTTATAATAATAAAAATAATATAAATAAATATATAAATTAATACTATTATTATTAGAATCTAATTAATATGTAATTATATACATTAATAGTAATAGATTATAAATTAATTAAAATTATTAGTTTAATTTAATTAATTAAAACAATAGTAATAAAAATAAAAAAAATAAAGTAAAATTAATTTAATTACGTAAAGAAAATTAATTTACTAATAAACAAGTTAAACAATTGTTTATTGATTATTAATTAATAAATTAGATTAGATTAGATACATTAATAAATAGGTTTATTAAAATTAACTAATTACGAATACTCATTAGTTTTCTAATTTCTAATTCTAAGTTATTTTATGGAATAAAAATAATGGGATAATTTTGACCGAACCTTTCAATTGAAACAACCAAACCATCCTAGTTAAAATTACTAAACTAGATGGAACAAAGTTAGAATTTATTGGTAAAAATAAATTTTAATTTTGAAAATAAAGAGTTTAATTATTAATACAAGGTAGTTCAGATACGCAAAAGCATTGGCAACAAGACGTCTCTTGAGGAATGCGGAAAGATTCTAATTTCGAAGACATTGACCGTGATTCCATAAACTCGCATTTAATGAGTCAAGGCCACTGATCGTAACCTAATATACAAGGAAATAACAGAAGACACTCTGAGACAATTTTGCACATATAATTTATGTTCTATTTTAATGTATAAAAGCCAGGTGAGAAATTCTTGCATTTCTCTTTAAATAAAAGCATATTGAATTAAATTAAATTATATTATATATTATATCCGCTTTTGAATTTAAGGGAAAACAAAGAAAACGGAGTATTAGATTTTCTTAATTTTGGAAACGATTGGAAAATTTGAAAAATTATTTCAGAATAAAAATTATTAAAAAGATCTTTAACTTTCAGAATTTAGAAAACAAAGAAAATAGGAAAAAAAATTTAGAAAGAAAATTATTTTCCTTACCTTAGAAAAACAACATTCATTTTAGAAATGATTTTCGCCACCATGGAATATTCCTGCTAACTTGCATGCGAATTTTCCGATGTACAAAATTATGAAGGCGAATAGGGAATAATTTTTGGATACAAACTTTTCAGATTCTACACCTAAAACATTGCACCAATTGTAACGTTCCATAACTAGGGCTCTGTACTAAAAGCTGCGCAACTAGTGTAAAAAAATTCGGAAAGATAAGCGATAAAGCTTTCTTTCAAAATTCGAAATTTTAGAGAAAATGCAATTTTAATTATGAGAAAATAGTCCGCAAAAGTATTACCTTTACATTTTCATTTTAATTCAAAATATTTATTCATTGAACCGAAACTGGGTTTTCTATTGTCTGTCATGTGAATATTTTTGGCGCTCTTCTGCGCGAAGGGCATGTTCGCAGTCCTCTTCTAAGTCCACGGGGTTTCTAGTGTCAACAAAAATTGACATTTCTTCTGGTAGTCCGCGAATGAAAGATTCGAGGGCACAATCTATAATCGGTTGTATTAGGAGTTCACTTTCAGGAAACACACGAGTACGCGCGTTGGGGACATCGGCTTCGCGAAATCGTCTATTGTACTTTGCTTCGAGGGCATGTTTTGCACCACTTAGAAGTCCGCGCAACCTATCGTTATAGTCCCGCACAGTTTCGGCTTGTTTCATCCTTATTGTCATAATATTTTCGAAATACCATTGGTATTTTTTTGTAGATGCAAATCGTTTTTGCAAATGAGCGACAAGCTCGTCCACTCTATTAAAATGTTTATCTCTAACACTTTCCCTAGCTGCGCCCTTTAACTTACTAAGGACTGCTTTAAGGAAACCCGGTTCTGTGGCATCGGTGGTGAATACGACACCATTTGCTACATCTTGTAGAAATTCTCTTAAGGGTGGATTCTTTCCGTCAAAGAAAGGGATGTGGTATGTACTCTGTTGTAGGGTCATACATTCGAGGACAGATGCCATGGCGGCAGTAGTGTCCTGGTTAATTTGTCGAAGTGTTATGTTGGCATATTCTGTCTCTAATAAAGAGTGATTATTCCCGCCCCTTGCGCCGGCGTTATCTTCGGGATGGTCCGGCATTATTTTATTTTTTTTTTTTTCATACGCAAACTTGGCAGTCTCTTCTTTTCGAGAGGGGAACAAACTATCTCTCTTATTTTCTTTTTTTTCTTACGCCACCGCGGAATATTCCTGCAAACTTGCTTCAAGGAAATTGAGCATGCGGAAAATTATAATCTGTCGCGTTGGCTGATTTTGTTTGTGTCGCTAATGATGGTACTTGATTTGAAATTTTTGTTTAATTGAGCATAGTCGACGTAGAATCGGTTATTCGCTTTCTTAAAAACCAGTACTAAGGGGATGTTACAAGGCGACGTCGGCATAGATGTTAAATCTTTGAGTGTTTTGTCAGTCAGAATAGGTGAAACCATTTTAGAAAAATTATTAATTATTTTCAATCCAAAATCATTACGTTACTGTCATATGCCGTAGTCTCGTCAGAGTCGTTTGAATTATCGTCTAAGTGTTGTTGTAAGAGTTCTATTCTGCGACGAGCCAATTCCTCCTCTCTTTCAAGGTCAATTACTCGAGCTTGTGGAGGGGGAATCTGAGGGTTACTTGGACCTGCTACAGGGAGGACAACTGGGGACAAAGGTTTCACTTTATTAATGGGTTTGATTTTTAATGTCGGTTCGGTAAGGTTATAATAAATTTCCGAACTCGGAACTCTTGTCGCTGGTTGTTTTTCTGTAATTGTGGGTGCACTCCTTTTTCCCGCAATTTTTCCCCACCTCTTTCCTGCACTTTTTCCTCTAGGGTTTTTATTGAGTAGAAATCCATTTATACTGGACATTTTAAAGTATTCATTATCGAAAATTTTCTTTTCTTTTCACTGATTTTCATTAATTCCACGCCAGGAATTCGTTACATTTATATCAACTCAGCAAGAAGCTTTCCTCACGGGGAGATCGTACTGAAACCAGCGCTTTTGAATATTACGAGATGCGAAAGAGAATTTGATTTTCTTCCTATCTCACTTTTCTTTTCGGAAAATTATTCAAATGCAGCATAGGAATTTCCGATCTCGCGGTGTCGTACTGGCAACAGCGATGGAGAGTAACTGGTTTTATAATCAATTTAATGATTCTACAACTTCGTTTTGTAACGGTTTTTCCGCATGGATATTAAGGAAATTCTCAGGATTCAGATTTTCTTTTAAGTTTTTCCGTATTAGAGAATTTTCGCAGTGTAACAACTCAGCAAAAAGCTTTCCTCACGGGGAGATCGTACTGAAACCAGCGCTTTTGAATATTACGAGATGCGAAAGAGAATTTGATTTTCTTCCTATCTCACTTTTCTTTTCGGAAAATTATTGAAATGCAGCATAGGAATTTCCGATCTCGCGGTGTCGTACCGGCAACAGCAATGTAGAGTAACTAGTTTTATAATTAATTTAATGATTACAAAACTTCGTTTTGCTACAACTCTTTTAAAGGGAAAACCTTAAGTGAAAAAAATTTTTTTTTTTTTTAAAGAAAATTTCAAACAGTATTTATAAATTTTGGAATGATAGTAATCCCAATTCAATGGCGCTTTGTCTGCCAATTATTCCCGTTGTAATGTGACAATCTTGCGAGAAGAAAGAGTCCACTACACAAAAACAGATCTCGATTCCATTTACTGGTAGAAAAAACAATGCCTAAGATTTCTGCATATTCGTCATTTATGCAGTCTCCCGACGGGAAGCCAAGAATCGCGCAGTCTGTCTTAAGTTGTGTCTCACAAATATAATTAAGTTTAGTATCGTTATTGACAGGGATTTCTAAACTATTACAGAGATGTTCTGAATGTACTGTCACAGTTTGTGCACTGTTATATTGTACTCGAATAGTCATAGTAATTTAGACATGACAAAAAAAATATTTGTTTATGATAAAATTATTCTTCCGTTCAGTCTTTTAAACGAGAAACTGACCGTCTCTATTCTTCGAACTCTAAGGTCTTGTTTAGTCGTATGAGTAAGTACGTCAGCTGATCCAACAAGTGTGAGTGAGAGTCTCTGTAATTCTCGTCGGTTAACAATGCCTCCGTGGTGAAGTGGATGTTTTGGGTTATATGTCACAAAATAGTCTAATTTAATATGTGATTCTGGTTTTGGTCGTCTATTTAAGGGATGAAATTTATATTCTGATTTTACCGAAACTTGATCTTCCTTAACAATTTCGTTTTTAACGAGGGTAGTCTCTATTTTCTTATCTGAATTTTCCGATTCGTTTTGAATATTTTTATTGCATGAATTAATTCGTTTTTTTGAGCGACCGCCACGGGGCCTAATTTTATGTGGCATAATTTGAATGATTCATAGCAAAAAAAAAAGAAATGAAAAATCAATAGTTTTCAATTACTTCTTTAACAGAGTAAAGTGGCCCTTAAACAGAAAAGTTGAAATAAGATTCCTAATAATTCCGTAATTAGAGAGACCGAAAAGGTGACGATAAGTAACACGAAAGTAAATAAAAGAAAAATTTCTATTAAAGACATGTTAAGTATAGAAGAAAAAATAGGTTTCTTTCTTTTGCAATGAGAATTTTTCTTATTTCAAAATGAAACAAATTTTTAGGATTCGCTGTTATGAATTTTGATTAGTCATCATCAACGACATAGTCGGAGAGCCAGAATCAAAAATTGAGAACGAGTCATCATCAATGACCAAGGTCAGAGAGCCAAATTCACAATTTTTCGCAATTCAAACAGGTTGTCACTTAAATCTTTGAATACATTAAGAAATTGAAAATTTTCCTTTCGAAAAATTTTCTCTTCTGAATTTTCAAAGTAAAGTATAAAGAATGGAGGAAAATATTGGACAGTTAAAGAAAATATTACTTCTTTTGGTTTTTCTCGATGAGAATTTTGTCTTTATTTCAAAAGATACAGAGTTACTGTTATGAATTTCGATTAGTCATCATCAACGACATAGTCGGAGAGCCAAAATCAAAATTGTGAATGAGTCATCATCAACGACCAAGGTCGGAGAGCCAAAATCACAATTTTTCGCAATTCAAACAGGTCGTCATCTATTTTTTTTTAATGCACTTAGAAATTGAAAGGTTTTTCCTCGGAAAAATCCTCTCTTACACAATTCTCAAAAAGAAGTTTGAAATTAGTTGATTAAAGTTGTTAACTATTCTTTTCTTATAATTAAAAGAATTTTCGGAACCAATGTCTCAGATAATGTCATCATCAACGACCAAGGTCGGAGAGCCAAAATCATAAATTAGGATTGCGTCATCATCAACAACATAAGTTGGAGAGCCATAATCCAGAATTTATTTTTAAGACAAAGTCATTCTGTACTTTTCTTTCAATATAAGGAAAAGAAAATCAAACACTCAATAATTTAGAATTATTGATTTTTAGTTTTGAAAAGTTAGTAAGGTATAATTATAAGAATTTTAAATTAAAAGTAAACGTGAAATTTTGTCAAAATTAAACTGTTTGAAAAATTCTAAGGTGACAATTGATGAAAATCAATTGTTCCGATAACGTAGCTGGCAGCAACGTAAGGAAAAATCCCACCGCTGCCACCATCAGCTTGTTACGAACCGAAAAATATTAATTATAAAAATTATTATTCTTTATGTCCTGGAGGCACCAAGCTGCCGAAATTAAAAAAAAATCCGGTTTTTTATGGGATCGTGTATCCTATTTTAAAAGAAACTGCCAAGTTACGTTATTCGAAAATGAATTTAAGGGATAAAACACAATAAAACAATTAAGACCCTTTTATACATTTATTTTATAAAAGAAATCTCGACTTTAAAATGTTGAAATAATACAATAAGATAAGAAGATGGAACGATACATGTTTAAAAACTTACTCTACTGCTTATTATACCGTCGCAAGCTAACGAGGGCGAGGCGTCGAGCTGCTTTCCGACGGGCGAAAAAATACACACACTTATCAAAGCGCGAAAATGTCATTTGGTAGCGCACAAGAATGCACTTACGGGTCCACCGAATTTAAACAGCGCAGGCACCACACGTGCGGACTGGCCGGTCAAAAAGACAAAAATTCAATAATTTGATTTTATTCAAATCATTGGATTTTTATTAAAGACGACTTCCGTTGGACTTCGTCGGCGTGAAGTATTCATTTTAACTTTACGTCCGTCCAATTTTAATCACTATCTATGTAGTGGATTGTAAAAATTGGAAATCCGACTCACGGACGGGCTTAGTCCCGGCGTCTCAAAATCGTTTTTACGCCTCTGAAAAATTTCAGAGCTGACTCGCGAATGAGAGTTGTACAGCCATTAATTGATTTCCGCGATGCTCTTTTATATGAACGTTTAGAGACTTCAGGTGGGAAAATTTTGTGGACTAAGGGTTTTTAACACGTGAATAAGGCGTGAGCTCTGGGCCTGTTACTATGCCAATAATGCTGAGTTTTCGTTTTCTGTTAACAGTTATAGCCAAATATAATAATATGCACTTAATAAAAATCAAGCATAAATTATTATTGAAAGACTTGTTTTTTTCTTTTATTTTTTTTTGGATTTATTTTATGAATTTTCCTTGTTGGAAAATGTTTTGATTTTGGGTATTTTTACCCCATTTTCATTTGCGACAATTACAACTTTGATGTTGTGTTGTCGTGGGCATGTAAGATTGTTAGGCCCAGAATACATAATAAAAAGAAGTGAAGTAAGAAAGGATCGGAAACTGAAGAATTACGTTCAAGGAAAAAGCTCATCGCGTAGATTTGTTTTAACTATCATTTCCCATAATTCGTGAGAAGTCCAATTTCTAATGTGGTTTCTACGCCTATCTATACTCATTTAAGACCCGCAAGCAATAATAGCGAACCGTACATGAGTAAAACACTTATTGTCGTTATTTGTAATCATTAGCTTCCATATTTTTATCTTGAGAACGTTAGTCTAAGAGAGAAAGATTCGTTGGTACAATGTATCTCCTTATCTCTTAGTGCGGCTGCTAGGTGGAAAGAGACGCACGCTCTACAGTGAATCCAAGCGAGAACACTATGCGGTTGAGAGAGAACGCATCAATAATGTATCAGAGAGAGAAAGATTCCTATGTATAGCATATCTTCTTTCTCTCTCGCGCAATGCCGAGGGATGCGCGGGGAGCTTCCACTGAACGCGTTCAGCGGTGGCCCCCACCCGTCGATGCGAAGACATTATTTTAATTTCGAATACTTTAATTTTTTTTTTTTTTAATTCTCTCAATAATTTTTTTTTAATTAGGTACTTCTGTATAACAATAATTATACTAGCAGAATATATTTATCTACACACAGTTGGCAGCAATAATAATAATAATAATAATACATACATACAATTGAGAGAGGAGAAAATGATATAAATTATAATTAAAATATATGTTGAGCATTTCCTGAAAATCATTGAAATCATAATAAAATAATTTTAGGTTGCTGGAATTATATTTTCAGGCGAAAAAAAAATAATTTACTGTCGAGGCTCGAGTTCATTTTCGCGCGATAATCAGCTGCTGACGTACTCATTTTACAGCAGTTTTTGGTGCCTTTATAATTATAAATATTATAAAAATAAAATAAATGGAATTAAGTAATTTTGAATTTCATTTTAGGACTAAAAATTTAAAAAAAAAAATATGTTACGTACTTGCGTAACACTGGAGATAGAAATGGTAAGTACATTGTACTTTTAATTTTATTAAGTTAAATTAAATTAATTTGCCGTATTTTAATTCTTGGATTGCATAACTTTTTCGACTTATTGTAATAAAATTTAATACGACTTAATCAGTATAAAATCTTTACAAAATTAAATTATATATAAGTATATTAACTAGAATTCATCGCAGAATCATTCATTTTTTTTCCAAGTTTGATTTTTTTATGTATCTTTATGTTTTTCGACCTCAGGAGTCCAAAAATGACATTTTTAAAAAATGTCATTCCGTGTGTGTGTATGTGTGTGTATAAACATCACATTTTCATAAATATCTCGAATAATATAAGAGCTAATGTGTTAAATTTTTTTTTAATTGTAGATCTCACCGGCGGACAACCTTTTTAAAATTTTCATTATTTCTAAAATTTGTATTAAATTACTTTTTTCAACAAGATTTTAATTAAGTTTTTTGAAAATTTAGTTAGTTAAAACATTTACTACATTCCTGAATTTGAATAATTTGCATAAATTAATAGTCAAAAAATTTTATTAATAAAGTAATTTTTAATTATTTTTTATTTTAAAATTTGTAATTGAATTCTTGAAAATTTGTTTCTCAGTTCAATTCAAAAGTATTGTAATTAAAATTTCTTGAAAATATTTCTACGAAACATTCTTATTAAGTAATTAATAAAATTTATTTAATTCCTCATAACAATTGTTTTATAATAATAGTAAAAATATTTATTTATTAATTATATTTTTAAAAAACTGAGTTTTTCGACATTTCTTGTAATCTAAATCGAAATAACGTCTTTTTTCCCCAAAGTCGATCCAAGGACTGATATTTTAATTGTGTAAATATATTTAAATTTTCATTTTTCTTCTCCCCAATTTTAAAAATCTGCAATAACGAATTTTTCAAATTAAATGCGGAACAAATTTGTTAATTAATAATAACTTATCTGAATATTAAATTAACTGACTCTTCCTTTAATAAAATTTCTACTGAATGGAATTTCTAAATAACAATATTTTAATTTTACATTATTTTTATTTGTCTGAACTTTTAATTGTCTAAATTGTCATTTGATGGAATTCTTAAAACAAAGAATTTTCATTTCATCGACTTTGCAAATAGCCGAACACATAAGCAGCAGATGAATTTTGCGCAAATTTAAAAATTAACCTAGACAAAAATATCATGAAAATTTTGATTGGTTAATTTTTAAATTTTTGCCGAAATTCTTTTGCCGTTTATGTATTTGAAAAGATAATCAAATGAAAATTCATCGTTTTAAGAATTCCATCAAATGACAATTCGGGCAAATAAAATATCAGACAAATAGAAATTAGATAGGTGACATGAAAATTATGCTTTTCAGACATTTCACTAAATAGAAATTTTATTAGAAGATGAGATTCTGGTAATTTAATATTTAGATCAGTAGAAGATCGGTTAAAGAAAAATTTTATTGAATTAAAATTCTTTTTTATGGAAATTTTGAAAAATATGAATTGTCTTAAATAAAAATTATGTTTAAAAGAAAAACGGTTAATTAAATTAAAATTGTGTTCAATTTTTGAGTCTAATTTAAAAAATAGAGTCGAATATAATTTGATAATTTATAATTCGACGCCACAAAAATTCTAGCAAGTTTAATGTGGGGAATATTCATGCATCACAAAAAAGTCAATTTTATTATTTATTAATATACTTTTTTATTCCACAGGATTGAAGACGAGAAACTCCTTTTATCAAAAACCTGACCATCCAGTCGGGAATAAAAAAGGAGATTCTTCGTCAAATCCACCGCCAACACCATCGGCAGCAGCTCAACTAGCGCCGCCAGCAGTGGCAACAATTCCACTGCCGCCACCAGCAGCAGCAACAATTACACTGCCACCGCCAGCAGCAGCATCGGCGAATCCACCGGCAGCAGCAGTAGCGCCGGCGAATCTACCGCCAGCAACAGCAGCGTCGGCTAATCCACCACCACGAGAAGAGGAGGATGATTCAGATGTGGAGTACATTGATCGGGGAAATTTTAATCAGCAAAATTTCTTTATGGAAGAAGAAATTCAATTCTTTGGTCAGCAATGGGAAAATCCATCTGGCTACTACAGCTTCCCATTTCCGACGCAAGGAAATGGATATTCAGGTCCTGCACCAACTCCAATGCGGGGTTGCCAATTTTCTTCTGCTACTGGAAATATTGGAGCACAATACGGTGTGCCAGGACCAAGTGGTGCTCAACAATATTTCCAGCAGCCTATGAATACGGCATATCCGCCCCATGGGTACGGTGCAGGAAACTACCCACAAGGAAATTTTGCTAATTATTATTTCCCCGATCAACAGCACGTTACACCAGGCTTCCACCCGCAATGGGGAAGTGTTCCTGAATCAGGGAATACCCTAGCATCAATTCTTGCATTGCAGCAATCTGCAATGTTGTCTACAATGCAAGAGAATTTGTTAAGGGGTTCCCTGTCTCAGGCAACCACAACGAATACAAGCGCTGCCAATGCGAGTGGAAGCGTGGTTAACAGCGAAGTTCCACAAGGAAAGCAGGCCCCCAAAAAAGCTGAGGTGGACGTCCAAGTAAGTGGAGTCGTCTTATTTTGGCCTAATTTTCAAAAGTTCGAAATTCGAAAAGTCGAATTATCAAAAGTTCGAATGTTTACTTTGTCGAATTTTTAAAAGTTAGAATTTTTAAAATATAGAATTGTAAAAAGTTCGAATGTTTATTTTATCAAATTTCCAAAAGTTGGAATTCTCAAAGGATCGAAACTTTTTTTACACAAGAGTTCACACTCTAGTCTAAGCTATGACCAGGTTCAACATAGAGTGTAAACTCTAGCCCCCACAACACCGAAACTTTCCTAAAAATTTATTAAAGATTTTCTTGCAATGTTCGGAATATTTAATTACAAAGTTTACTGAAAATTGTGTAAAGATTTAAATGTCCCGATTAAATAAATGTTTAGTGTGAAACTTTCCTGAACATTTCCTGAAAATTTTCGCCTAATTATAATTATAATAATAATTAGGCGAAGATTTCATTTAAATGTTTCGGAAAGTTTCGCGCTAAACATTTATTCGAGTGGTACATTTAAACCTTTACACAACTTTCAATAAACATTGCAATTAAATATTCCGCATATTGCAAGTAAATCTTTAATAAATTTTTAGGAAAGTTTCGGTGCTCTGGGGGAGTGTAAAAAATGTTTTGATCTTTTCAGAATTCTAACTTTTGGAAATTCGATAAAATAAACATTCGAACTTTTTACAATTCTATATTTTCAAAATTTGAACTTTTGATAATTCTATCTCTTAAAACATCTAACTTTTAAAAATTCGATAAAATAAACATTCGAACTTTTTACAATTCTATATTTTAAAACATCTAACTTTTAAAAATTCGATAAAATAAACATTCGAACTTGTACCAATTCCATATTTTAAAAATTCTAACTTAGGAATTCGATAAAATAAACTTTCAAACTTTTGATAATTCTATCTTTTAAAAATTCTAACTTTTAAAAATTCGACAAAGTAAATATTCGAACTTTTTACAATTCTATATTTTAAAAATTCAAACTTTTGATAATTCTACCTTTTAAAAATTCTAACTTTTAAAAATTCGACAAAATAAAAAGTCGAACTTTTGACAATTCTATCTTTTAAAAATTAATTAAAGTAAACATTCGAACTTTTGATAATTCTAACTTTTAAAAATTCGACAAAGTAAGCAGTCGAACTTTTGACAATTCTATCTTTTAAAAATTAATTAAAGTAAACATTCGAACTTTTGATAATTCTATCTTTTGATAATTCGATCTTTTGGAAATTCGATAAAATAAATAATCGATCTTATGACATTTCTGTCTTCTGATAATTCTACCTTTTAGGTATCTTTTGATAATTCGACTTTTCGAAATTCGAACAATTTTAAGTAGAATTATTTTTAAAAAGTTTAAATAGTTTTAAATATTAAATACAATGTTTATTTGATTGTAGAAATTTCAAAAAGACATGCATAAAATGTTAAATAAAATGATGGAGAAACAAGGTCTTCTTAAAAAAAAAACTGGACGTGGTGGTAGAGGAGGTCGTGGGGGATTTGGCGGCAGTAACAAACGTGGTGGACGAGGAGGACAAGGACTCTCCACTTAATTCATAAATTGATATAATATAAAAAAAAATTAATTAATATTAAAGATTAATAAATCTAATTTTATGAATTAAAAGTCACGAAATTTTTATTTTTAAATGTCCCGAAATTCAATTATTTTTAAAAAATATGTCAAATTCTTCGCTAAATTAATTATTTCTAGTAATTTTCCTCAAAATTTGCAAAAATTGAATTATTTAAAACAGTATCTAAATATTACCTAAAACATCTATAGGTGTCAGTACATTTTTTTAAAGTTATGTGCAAAAAACAATTTTTACAAAAATTTTGAAATGTTAAAAAAAAATTAGTTAATTTTAGTTATTTTGGGTCAAAGTACTCTCATTATTTGTCCGCCGGTGAGATCTACAATTTAAAAAAAAATTTAGCCCTTATATTATTCGAGATATTTACGGAAATGTGATGTTTATACACACACACACACACACACGGAATGACATTTTTTAAAAATGTCATTTTTGGACTCCTGAGGTCGAAAAACATAAAGATACATCAAAAAATCGAATTTGCAAATTTTTGGTAAAACAATGCTTCCCATGAGGAAGCAAAATGTTTTTATTAATGCGATAGGAAAAATTTATTCAGAAATAATTAAATTATTAATAATTGAAACAGTTATATCAACTTAAATAATAAATAATTCTTATTTTTTAAAACCCTCAGTAATTGCAGCACTTGCAGCAATGGACAATGGACTCAAGAAGAATTCAAACATCTTCACAAATTTTTAAGAAACGGTTTTATTTGAACAATTTTAAAAACATTAATTCCTTATCAATAATATTTCTAATATTTCCACCTAATATAATTTATTTTTTCAATAATATTTTAATTAAGGTCTTCTAAAATTTAGTTACTTAGAACATTTTTTAACATTTTAAATTCGAATAATTTAAATAAATCAGATTTAAAATTTATTTAATTTCTATTAACTATTGGTATATAATAATTAAATATTTAGTACTTAACTAAATTTTATAAAAATAAAAATCGCCTTTTTTGACTTTTCTCGTAATTCAAATAGATTAAAACGACTTTTTTCTCGTGTATTATTAATTACTTTCTAAATAAGTAGAAAGGACATTTGATTCTGATTTCATTTCCCAGGGTTGCTAAAGTCAGAAAAAATTAGGAAATTTAATAAAATCTTATTTCAAAAATTAATTTGACATATTTTAGTCCTCGCATTGCACAACTATCCCGACTTATTTTAATAAAATGTGTCTGTTTCCATTTTTTTAAAACATTTTTTAAACAAAAATTCGAGTTTTTTAATATAAAATGTACATCTTTGCAAAATTGAATTATTTCGCTTATCCCATTCAAAAACATCCTAAAATTCATAGCATATTTAGAAAAGCCGTAAGTACAAAATACTGCATAACCTGTATGTATTTTGAAAACAGTTGATATGTTTTTTTATAAAGTGTTGAAGCTGGATAATTTTTATTTTGTCTTTAAAATTTACATAATTAAAAGAAACATTAATAGAATCCACATAAATCAAAATACCTTATAGAAAACGCACAACTTTTTTGCAAAATACATACAAGTTATATTTTTTTGAGTTTGGTTGTTTCTACACGGTCTCTCGAGTTACGTCTTACAAAATTATAGAATTGAATACGTTCAAGGACATTGCTTTTTTTGATTCAATACTATTTTTTCAGTGTATGAATTTTACGATGTTTTTGAATGGGATAAGCGATTTAAAAGAATATTAACTACAATTCTTCGCAAAATTATTCATTTTTAATCAATTTAATCAAATTCTTTAAAAATTCTATAAATTAAAATATTTTTCAATTGAAAGTTCTATAAAATTCAATCATTGTTTAGATTTTTGTTAATAATTTTTATTAATTTATTAATTGTCTAAGGTATTTTAATCCCCAATGAGGTAACGAGAAAAAAAATTTTAATTCCTTTTTATAACTGCTGAAACTGGAAAATAACCACAGTCAATATTTATAACACAAATTTTGTTACAAATGTTTATAAACAAAAAATCCATGTTTCCTAATGAATCTCGTCATTGCAAAATGCTTTTCTATTGAAAGTCTGTAATGTCCAAAAATTTAAAAAAAGGACGAAAAAATATTGAAAAAGTGACTTATTTATTTTGAAAAATCTTCAGTGTAATTCTTGAAAATTGTCTCTCAATTCAATTTTGAAGTATTGGAAATAAAATTTTTTGAAAATATTCCTATGAAACATTCTTATTACAGAATTAATAAAAATTATTTTTCTATTACGAAAAATTGCAAAAGTTCTCTAAATTCAATACAATTTTTAATAAAACTGTTATTTGCTGTTCTCTTCGGAAATAGAAATTTTATTTTCGATTTAAAATCAATATTATAGCAAAATAAAAATCACTATTACAAAAATAATCAAAAGATTATTAGCGAATAAGAATATCTGGGAAAAATATTTTAAAACGGTTTAATTGTAATTTTTATTTAAAAAATACTTTATTTGCATCACATACTCCATTTAATTTTACTTAAATAATATTTCATTAGGTATTAATTTTAGAATTGATTTATTTACTATTTTTTTTATTTTTATTTACACTTGTCTTAGCACATAATTATCGTGCCTACAAGAGGAGTAACGCTATAAAAGTATATATATATACATGTATAAAAAGGAGCTAGTATAAAGCATAACACTAAAACATTAAACTAAGAAATATTAAGAAATATTTACGCGCGCAATCATAATCCCACGAAAAACATAGACAAAACGCTTTATTAGAGTTCGATCGTCACTCGAAAAAAATTTTAGCCAACATTCCACTGACAGATCCGACAAATTCTTTAATCCCATGTATGCGAGTAAAGGTTCGTAAAGATGACTGCAGGAAGGACACTTAATTAAAATATGAAATAAATCCTCATCTTCCTGAAAACAAGAAGCACAGTCTGCATCGAGGTGTAATGTAAACTTTTTGTTATCAAATAAAATTCTGGGGGTGTGACGATTTAACAATATAATTTGAGCAAAAATTTTTTTAATAAATAAGGGCAGAGACATCATTAAATAAGTTTGAGTATTAGAGCTTAGTGAGAGATGAGGATATAAAATTAAACTCCTTGACTGTAAGAGGCATTCCTCATCTCTTTTTCTTAGGAAAAGATCAAAAGTCTCGAGAGCAGACCCCCCCCCCAGGAGCAGAGTGTTTCAAGGGACACCTCGCTCCAAGAGTTTATTAACCCGCAAGGTTCAAAAAACGAATTTTTTAACTGTACTAGCCAGTTCAATTTGTTATTGGGTTGAGCATTAGCTAATTTCAAGAGTCTTTCAAGACATTGCCTGGGATACCGTGAACTATCCATTTCAAAAAAAAATTTTTTTAACCAGGACAAAATGTTCTTAAAGATAAATAACGCAGTATGCTTCGCGCCCGTTTCCAATCTGACGGCATAATTTGGAGTACAAATAGGAAGGCCCAGTAACCTCTTAAAAAAGGATAATTGAACCCTCTCTAAGCACTCCAAAAATTTTAGGGCCCATATTTGACAACTGTACCGTAGAATACTTTGAACTATACTATCAAGGAGTCTAGTGATCGATGCCCAAGAGCTAACTCCCGCGGAGTAGACCACCCTCAAGACTAAACCTGCCGCTGTATTCGCGGCGCTTACGGCTCTCTTTGCTGCCAGAGAAAAAGAACTCAGGAGTTGTGAAAAAGGACACCCAGATACATATATTCTTTAACTACCTCGATGCAACCGTCCCCATATTTAAAAGAAGTAAAATGTTTAGCTTTAGAATTAGCAGAGTTAGTAAAAATAACGATCTTCGTCTTGTCCGTGCTAACCGTAAGGTTATTAAGGGCACAATACGAAGATAGCGCATCCAGTTTTTTCCGAAGCTCTGTTGGCGTATCCGCAAGCAATACATAGTCATCGGCATACCCAAGAAGCATAATTTCATTCTTGCTGTTTATTGATAAACCTCTACAGCCCCTTTTAATAAAATAATTATCCAGATCCGAGATAAAAAGCAGAAAAAGATAAGGACTTAAAACCTCGCCCTGCAGTACACCCTGAGAAACCTTGACTCTGTCAGTAAGACCGTCGTTAGTTTTGATAGTAGTAAACGCAACAGAATAGAAATTAATTAAAATATTAATAATCTTGGAGCTAAGCCCCAGCGATCGCAGCTTGTGCCAATGGAGTTTATGACAAACAGATGGAAAGGCCCCCTTCAGGTCAATAAAAGCGGCATAGACCACCTTACCCGGTGTACTCAGATGAATCTGTATAATTACAGAAAGATTAAACAAGTTATCTAAACAACTTCTGTTTTTTCTAAAACCCGCTTGTGATTCTGGTATCAGATCCAATTCCGTAGCCCATTTAACAAGACGGTCGCAAATGACCTGAGTGAAAACTTTAGCAATACAGTTCATGAGTGTTATAGGCCTATAATTATTCGGATCTTTAATATCCCCCTTTTTATAAAGCATGTAAGTTGTTAAATTTCCCCATTCCTTTGGGACTTTTTCCGTGTCCAAAATTTTGTTAAAAAGATGATTCAAAAATAAAACCCAATTCTGTGGTAAATTCTTTAAAAAATCATAATTTATATCATCCATTCCGGGGGCCTTACCATTTTTACATTTATTTAAACAGCCGATGATCTCCTCGGTCGTAATGCTTTCGTCCAATGAAGGGACAGACAATTTACAAAAATAAAAATCAGTTGTGGGGGAAACACTTTGTTCAGGGTAGCAATTCAAAAGAAAAGTATGCCATGTATTAATATCTATTCCGCACGGTTGTTTACCCTTACGACGGAAAGCATTGACAGCCTTCCAAAAGTCAGAAGAGTTCTTACACTTATTCACTGCTTCAGTTCTAGCCAGATGGTACATTTTTTCTTTTAACTTAATAACTTTTTTAAATATTTTCTTTTCGGAGTAGTAAGTCTTTTTAGATAAAAAAGAGAACGACTGACTTCTGCAAAGCCGCAATGCATCCGAGAGACGCTGCTTAGCCTGTCTACACTCAAGATCCCACCAAGGTTTACGCCCTATAAATTGATTATAATTGTAACAATGTTTAACCATTTGCAATTCAGTGGCAACCTGTTTTATTGTTGAAATAAAAAGAGAGTTAAGCTTATCGACATCTTTTTCTAAATCTGCTACTTCGTCCCTCCATGCCATCTCTGTGGCAAACGAAAATATCTTTTCTTTATCAAAGCAAAATTTGGTAAAACTATTATCAGTATTATAATTAACATTAAAAGAAAGTTGCAAAAAAATAGGAAAATGATCCGACAGCGTAGGAAGGTAACACACTTTCAAATCCTGAACCGCGTGAAGCGCTCCAGATGAGCACCAGACAAGGTCAATCGTGCTTGCCCCTAATGAGTTCAAAAAGGTAAAGTTTGCTGGGCAATCATTTAAAGAGCGTCCGTTTAATAAGATTAAATCATTAGATTCCATAAGGTTGATAATCTCTTTGCCTCTAACATTTAAAATATTGTCAATTGAACGTCGTATATTAAAAACAGAATTAGTAAATTTAAAAATCTCTGGATCAAGCTGATTTAATTCCGCGACTCTACCGTTAAAATCACCACCGACAAACAAAGGGAAATCAGAAAAATCAATAAAAATTTTATTAATGGTAGTGTTAAAATCATCAGAAAACCTGTCAAAGTCCTCATCCGGAGCGACGTAAACCAAGCCTACAATAAACTGAGAATGATCTGAGAAAGAAATAAATTTTACAAAAATCATACAATGACTGATCGATATGATCGTACAAGAAAACAATTTAATATTATACGCTAACAGAAGTCCTCCCATGGCTCTGCCGTAGTCATGCGCTCTTCTTGCTGGGGAGAGAACACATTTGAAGATACTGCTGTTGAAAGGTTGTAGGATTTCGGACTCCGACCAAGTTTCACACACGCATACAATATCATGGCTGCTTACGTCTTCCTTCAGATCTATCACATTGCGAATGCCGTGGGCATTCCAGAACACGACTCTCGGTTGACATTTGTGGTGGGAGACAGGAGGCCCAGTGGTAGACCTGCGCGCCGACCCTCTTGAGACACTAACCTCCCGCTATTGGGGGTCAGCTAAGGAAAGTTTCCTCGAAGCCGTCAATCGTTTGGTGGGAGGCGGGGCAGGGTTCTGTATCGGAGTGTTTGGTATGAGAAAATCGTCTAAGGTACCATTGCCAATATTGTTCAACTGAAGCTTCTCTGAATTCCTGGGTCTACCCCTGGATCTAAGAACCATTGGGTTAGGAGGGGGACGCACATTGGTAGGGGGAGTAGTCTCCGCATTCGAAATAGACTGGCGATGCTGGTTTCCCATAGGAAGCCCCTCACGAAATTGGGAGGAAGACGTGGAGTCACTCACGATGTTGGTACCAGAAGAATTCTCGTAGATTATTTTGTTACCGACAATTCTTGCTTTTATCCCCTTCGCTTGTAGCTCCTTGATCTTGGACAGCAGTAAACGGCGATGCTCCCTTTCCTCTTTAGAGCGATCATTGGTAATAATGATATTTCTCTCTTTAAGTTCCCTCACTTTTGTGAAAACGAGTTTCACCCAACGTACGGCAAGAAATTTAATCATTACAGGGCGGTTATTTTTCATTCTGCCAAGACGAAAGATATCATCAACCGCTGGATCTGGAATATCAAGTCCAATGTCCGCAAAGATTTGTAGCACCTTCTGGAATAGGTTCTTGTTAAAATCATCAGAGTCCTCAAGGTTAAAAAGAATGATGTTTCTGGCGCGCTGGAAGGAAACCAAGTGTGAGAAATCGTTCTCCAATGACTTTAAACGTGAATGATGTTCCTTCAACGCGGCATTATTGGAACTCAAAGAATTAGCAATCGAATCGAGTCTACACTACCGTCCGAAATTGTGCGAACTCTGCTTTTTCAACAACTATAAAACTGTTCAAATCTTCAAAAATATTAAAACTAAAATTTTTTCCTCTTTATTTTATTAAAGCTAATAAAAGTCTGAAAGAAATGACACCTTGACAAAGAGAATATGTTAATTTTTCAATTAGATATCTAAGAAAAACCCAATTTTCAATGTTTTTACTATTTTTTTTATTTCTCTGGCAAAAATTAATATTTTTAAACGTTCTTAGGCTCATTGAAATCGTATTTTGTTATGCAATTCAAATTATATAAAACAATTCATGTACACATTCTTCCCTAGCGTATGCAAACCGTGAAAGTTGGCTCATAAAATGTCAAAAAATTGTGATTAATATTTATATGACAAAAAATGATCAGTAAAATGTATAAATCTTAAATTTATTTACATAAATCAGAGAAGTTTAGAATGATATATTTACTTGATTTTAAAACATTATATTTTATTGTATAATTAAATTTAAATTTTTTGACATTTTATTAGCCAACTTTCACGGTTTGCATACGCTAGGGAAGAATGTGTACATGAATTGTTTTATATAATTTGAATTGCATAACAAAATACGATTTCAATGAGCCTAAGAACGTTTAAAAATATTAATTTTTGCCAGAGAAATAAAAAAAATAGTAAAAACATTGAAAATTGGGTTTTTCTTAGATATCTAATTGAAAAATTAACATATTCTCTTTGTCAAGGTGTCATTTCTTTTACAATTTTATTAGCTTTAATAAAATAAAGAGGAAAAAATTTTAGTTTTAATATTTTTGAAGATTTGAACAATTTTATAGTTGTTGAAAAAGCAGAGTTCGCACAATTTCGGACGGTAGTGTACTTCTTATGTCATTTTGTGAAACAGACAAGGATTCAATAGAAGTAAACAGCGATTTCCATTTCTCCTCGTCATTCGAGCCCATTGTTTTGAAGACGATACAATAGGAACAGCACAATAAACTTTCACTAATGGCACAAATGGGACTCTATAATCGAAAATCACAGTGAATTTTGAGGAAAAAAATAAATGGTAAAGACACAGAAAAAGCAGGCAAAAATAAAAAAAAAAAAAAGAGACACTCCACAGAACCGCACCGAAAATGATAAAATGTATTAAAAAGAACACCTGGCCGAAAACTATCGGGAAAAATAGATAAAATATAAAGCCTTGCGAGCACAAATAAACACGACCGTACTTGTCGACAGCTCAAGCGAGACTCGATTTATTTACTAATATTAATACGATAAAGTGTAAATCAAGTTTACTCAAATACTTATTTTTTATTGTATTAAATTAATAAAGTTCTTACTATTAACAGTTTTGATTTTTTATAAATTATTTATTTATTAAATCATATTTATACAATAAATAACATTGATATTTTTCTGAATCTGTTCACCTTATTTAACATTTTACATCCCTCCTGAATAATTCTTCCTTCAACTTTGTCCAATATTTCATTTACAGTATTTTATATTTTCTCCCAATTGAATTCCAAATAATCATGTGGTGCAGAAATTTTGATAATAATAATTCCTTTTCCGTGTAATTGTGATCTTACCATAATATACTTGACTCTTTCAATCTGCAATAAAATAATTTTCTAAATCTATGTGTAAAGTAAAATTAAAAGAAAATATTGAAAAATGTGAGATTTCGTATGAATCACGGAAATGGCTAGGAATTTTTGTCTAAAATATGGACATTTTTTTATCTATTAAGTATTAGTTAGAATTTTTAGAAAAAAATATTTAAGTTTACATTTATATTTTTCTATTACTATTACCTAAAATAAAAATCTTAATTTTATGAAATTAGAATAAATATTTAATTTTTCACACTGTTAAAACATTAAAAATGTCAATTGATTACCAAAAAATGAGAATTTTTGTATGACATTATTATGATTTTTATTTCCTAGTCCGATTTCAACTATTTAAAACCAAAAAAAAGTTTTATAGTAACAGAAAATAATATAAACAAATTTTAGTTTTGTATTTTGAATTACAGGTTATGTTACCTACTTAAATTATTTATAATTATATTACTTACTTACAAATAATGCAGCTTTGAAGAAACAAGGAACCACTTTTTATTAAATTTATCACAAAACATAATATTTACTTTCCACTTGTCTTATTTCCGAAAAATAAGTAATTATATATAAGCTTCATTTATTAATGTTATTTGCTAATAATAAATTTCACAAAATAACAAATCATTTTTCTTGTAGTTTTTTTGGAAAGTACTGTTTCAAATAAGAATAATAATACATATTTAGTTTGTGTTTATTTATTACAGTAACGCATGCAACGCCATCTCGTAACACTATCGCGAAACATCTAGTAACTTTATAAGCAATGAACAGCTGTCACATTTAGTCATTATCTGATGGATAACACTACATATCTATTATAATCAAAATAAAGTTTTTTCTCATTTTTGTATATATAATTATACCAGACTATGTATTTTTTACCAATATTCAGTTCCCCAAATAGAAACTGTATATTTTTTTGACGTTTTCGAGAAAAGTCTGCTGCAGTTAGAATTATGATGAAGGTTCGTGGCTGAAAAACTGTTCACATATAATTTATCGACAATTATTTTTTTTAGTAATTAAAACTGACAAATATTCCAAACTGTGTATTTTGAATAAATAATCATTTCCCTAAAAGAAGACAATATTCTGTTATATTGTTTTCACGAAAAGTCTGTAGCAATGTTTCCATTAAATTAGCTATAAAGAAGAGGACTATGCCGAAATGTGACCTAGCCTTAATTGAGAAAAATCTGATTTTAGATTCTCAGGAATTTTTTACGTATGCTTGATCACAAGTAGTTTTGCATTTTTTGATGGGAGAAAGTTCATCATTTATTATTTAAAAGGGAGCAAAGCTTGTGATGCTAATTAAAAAAATTCAATTATTAAAATTTTGCAATTAATTGCGAAAAATCTGATTTTATGTTCTCTGGAATTTTTTTCGTATGCTTGATCACAAGTAGTTTTGTAGTTTTTGAAGGTAGGATGTTTTTCAGTAATGATTTAAGAGGGAGCAAAGCTTGTAATGCTAACTAAAAATAAATTCAATTAGTAAAATTTTGCAATTAATTGAGAAAAATCTGATTTAAGGTTCTCAGGAATTTCATTCGTATGCTTGATCACAAGTAGTTTTGCTTTTTTTGATGAGAGAAAGTTCTTCATTAACGATTTAAAGAGGAGCAAAGCTTGTGATGCTAATTAAAAAAATTCAATTAGTAAAATTTTGCAATTAATTGAGAAAAATCTGATTTAAGGTTCTCAGGAATTTCTTTTGTATGCTTGATCACAAGTAGTTTTGCATTTTTTGATGGGTGAAACTTCTTCATTAATGATTTAATTGGGAGCAAAGCTTGTGATGCTAATTAAAAAAATTCAATTAGTAAAATTTTGCACTTGATTGAGAAAAATCTGATTTTAGGTTCTCAGGAATTTTTTTCTCATACTTGATTAGGAGTATTTTTGTAGTTTTTGAAGGTAGGATGTTCTTCAGTAATGATTTAAGAGGGAGCAAAGCTTGTGTTGCTAACAAAAAAAAATTCTATTAGTAAAATTTTGCAATTAATTGAGAAAAATCTGATTTAAGGTTCTCAGGAATTTCTTTTGTATGCTTGATCACAAGTAGTTTTGAATTTTTTGACGGGAGGAAGTTCTTTATTAATGATTTAAGAGGAAGCCATGCTTGTGATGCTAATTTCAAAAAATCTCTTAGTAAAATTTCCAATTAATACAGCAAAATCTGATTTAAAGTACTCAGGAATTTTTTTCTCATACTTGATCAGGAGTATTTTTGTAGTTTTTGAAGGTAGGATGTTTTTCAGTAATGATTTAAGAGGGAGCAAAGCTTGTGATGCTAACAAAAAAAATTCTATTAGTAAAATTTGCAATTAATAGAGAAAAACCAGATTAAAGATTGTCAAGTATTTCCTTCGTATGCATGAT